GGGGAAGGGGGGGGAATGGCCCTGACACATAATCAGTCCATGATGGACTTGATCTTTTGCAGAATGCGGCTCCAATGCCTCCCTCAGAGTGAATTAGGGCGACTTCACGACCAGGTGCGCAACATACACCTGGCACCCTGTGCACGCAGCGGCAACATCCCGACAGAACCGCTGGAGCGCAGACGAGACACATGCAGTGGAGCAAAATATCCCTAACAAGAAATTAGGGTTAACATATACATGTACATAACATACATGTACATATACATAAGGTTCAGACGTATGAGACTCCTGATGAGTGGATGAGACTCCGACGGATCAGTCTGTCACAGCCCCTCCCTCGTTTGTTATCCTCTTCTCCCTCCCTCCCTCTCTGCCTACAGTTTACCGGGCAGGTCTGTTCGACGATATATAGCCCCCCGCGCCCCGCGCCCAACCCCTTACTCCCGCTCCCCCCGCCCCTTCTCCGCTTCATTTTACCCGCGAACTTTAGGGCAGAGATGAAGGTGGAGACAAGGGGGGGAAAGGGGGGGAAAGGGGGGGGGGGAAGGGGATCCATTGCCGGGTGAGGTGAGGGTATTTCAAAGGTGTATAAGGCAATTTCAAAGGCCCTCTCTGTAACGTTTCTTGTTTTTCTTTTTTTTCTTTTTTTTTTTTCTTTTTTTTTTTTTTAAGGGTGAGGGTGTATCAGGGAGAAAGGAAGAGAAGCGAGGGTCAGGGAGGAGGGAGGTGGAGAAGATCCCACAATAAAGAACGCATGAGCAGAGACGGGAAAACGGGAGCTAAGGTCTTCCCCTTTGAGGCGATGACTTCCCTACAGTCAGAGTTGCCATGCATGTTTACGAAATGGAAAGTTTTTGAATTTTGAGCGCAAAAAAAAAAAAAAAAAAAAAAAAAAAAAGGTTCCAATACGTGGATAGTGTTCTTTGCCGTATTTGCAAAAAGGTGGCAGACAGCAAAACGAAAGAAAACCAACAAAAATTTTCCGCTACCACTACTAGTAGGCCTTTGAAAGCACCCTTATGAAATAAGCATGGGGAGGGGTGGGAGAGAGTGGGAGAGTGTGAGAGAGTGGGAGAAAGTGGGAGAGAGTGGGAGAGAGTGGGAGAGTGGGAGCCGAGTGGGAGAGGAGACAGAGAGTGGGGAGTCGTGCAAGAATTACACCTAGAGAGAGAGAGAGAGAGAGAGAGAGAGAGAGAGAGATATTTGATGGTGCCCTGCTCTCCTGGTCCGAAATATCGGTGGCAAGCAGAGAAAGTATAAAAGAGAGAGAGAGGGTATTCCTTCTCTGTTTCGTCTGCGCTGCCTCCCTTGACTAACTCTGCCAGTTCTTTTTCTCCCATTCCTCTTTTGAAAGAATAAGAGATGATATTATCGCAAAACGGGTAGGAAAAGACAAAATGTCACCGGTAGCAATGGGAGGCAAGGCGGACGAAATGGATCTCTCTCTCTCTCTCTCTCTCTCTCTCTCTCTCTCTCTCTCTCTCTCTCTCTCTCTCTC